GTGTGTGTGTGTGTGTGTGTGTGTGTGTGTGTGTGTGTGTGTGTGTGTGTATTGGTACCTGGTAAAAACCAGGTGTTGGATCCCCTTGAAACTCAAGTTACAGGTAGTTGCGAGATGCCCAACCTGAGTGCTGGAAACAGAAGTCTGCAAGGACAGTGTGTGCTTTTAATCATTGAGCCATTTCTCTGGCCGCCTTGGAGGCAGGCTGAACACTGCTTTGCATTGCAACATTGAAGGAACAAAAACCAGAAACACTCTATAAAAGTAAGGGAATAAATAAATCAAGCGGAGGTCTGCAGTTGCTCACATCTGTTTAGAAGTGGGTTAAACTATAGAATGCCGTACCTCATTAAGGTTAATGTCTGTTTTTAGATAATGATAGTAGAGAAAATTGCAAAATATTAGCCTCTTGCTGAGAGAAAATCAGGAATCCATGGGTTAGTTTGTAAGCCTCTCAAAGGTCTTTAGTCCACAGCCTCAAGCTGCCTCCCATGAACGTGTAAGTAAGTGATGGCATGGTTTGCCTGGTAGAGAAGGTATTAAGGTTGCTGTTTGAATTCATCCAAAGTGGCATTACAATGAGGCCATGATTGGGTGAAATTCTGCACTAAGCACAAGCTTCTAAACAGGACTCCCAAAGAAGGTGCAAAAATCCAGGGCCAGAAAGAAGTGGAAGGTACCTCAATTCCAGCATTCCTGAGGCTGACGCAAGCAATCTTGTGTTCAAGGCCACCCTGGACTACATAGTGAACATTTTTTTTGTTTTTTTGTTTGTTTGTTAGTTTTTTGAGACAAGGTTTCTCCGTAACTTTGAAGCCTATCCTGGAACTCGCTCTGTAGACCATGCTAGCCTCAAACTCACAGAGATCTACCTGCTTCTGCCTCCCAAGTGCTGAGATTAAAGGCATGTGCCACCACAGCCCAGCAATGAAGGACCTTCTTTATGTGTTGGAACTACTTCCCAAACCTTAAGGTGAAAAGGGATAGGGCATCAGGCCAGGACAAAAAGACTCTAGAGGCAGCGTGGTACCCTCGGTGAGCAGAGCACCAGAGTGATCAGAGATGAGGATGGCCAGGGCTCCCAGTGGCCTGGTGGCCCCAGCCTTTCCCAGCTGCAAAGGGACAAAGGCAGAAGCTGAGGCTCGGTGGAAGATGACTTTGTGCTGGATTTAGTTCAATATGCTTTGTACCCTGTCTATAGTCAGAATGTTGGCTCACAGTGAGAACAGGCTTGGGGATGCTACCCTAACACTTTGGAACCCCCTTTCCCTTTACCACCACCATAGCCCAAGCCATTCCAGGCTTTCCTGGGTTCTTGCAGGTTTCCGCACACCTACGCTGGACCTCCAGTCCTTGCCCCAGATGGGCCATGTGAAACCCTTTCAGAAGCTCCGCAGCTGTCTGGACCAACTGCTCTCCTTTCCTTGGTCCTGCTTAGATGTCTGCTCCCCAGCACCCCTCTTCCCCAAGAAGGCCCCAGGACCTTCTGCCTCCCGCTGATTCTCAGTGCTTGGTCATGACCCTTCATGCTAGAGTGCTTTCTCTTCACACTTTGCTAAAACTCCCCTCTCCACCCTGGCTTCCCCCACACAAGAGTTTGTCCTCATTTGCCTGATGAGATTGTTTCAGCTGTGTCTGAGTTCCCGCTGCCATGTTTGTTTTCTTAACCTGGTTCGCTATCTGCTAATGCTGTGCGCATCAGTAGGAGAATTTGAATAATGTCTGTCTTCCTCACCTGTTCAGAGTGATCTTGCTCCTCTGTTTGTTCCGTGTTGACCCCAGGGGATGGCCATGCACAGGTATTTGGTGGGTGTGCCTGAGGACTAGAGTTAATGAGACGAGGTGCAATGCCCAGGAGTTTGGGGTTCTGGGGTTATAGCATTAGATGGTATGATTTTCAGAATGAAAGGAAGTGTAGAGGTATGA